TAAATATCAGAGCAGAGATAAATAAAAGAGGGAATAGAAAAACAGAGAAAACCAACGAACCCAAAATTCGGTTCTGACAGGGTTGTGAGAATCCCTGAATTTGCAGCCAATTGATCAGAAATGCAGGTTGCCTGGGAATCCTCCTAAGTGTGGCTGTCTTCTGAAGTGAGGGCAATCTTGGGGTACCTGACTGGCTCAGTACAAACAGCATGCGACTCTTAATCTCAGGGTCATGAGTTCAAGCATTACGCTGGGCATGGAGCCTATTCTAAAAACAAACAAACAACCACCACCACCACAAAACCCATAAAGATTAAAGTGAGGGCAGTCTTGTTGGGAACAGGGCCTCTGACTTGTGGGGTCTGTATTAACTCTGGATGGTTAAGTGTCAGAACTATATTGCAGTACACTAGTTGGTCTCAAAAAAGTGACCAACTGAATGAGGAGAAAGTGATGATGAGTGACTTCTGAGACATAGATGGAGCTGTGACTTCTGCACTGTTCTCTTGGACTGCTTATTCTGGGAGAAGCCAGATGCTGTACATGAAGGCATTTAAGCAGCCTTGGAAGAGGCCGACACTGGAAGGAACAAAGGCTTTCCACCACTAGCATGAATTTAACAGCCACGTGAAGGAGCCACTATGGAATTAGATAACTGCCACCCAGCCAATCTTGACTGCAACCTTAGAAGAGAATCCAAGCCAGGAAGCCCCGGTGTTAAACTGCTCTGTAACTCCTGACCCACATAAACTGTAAGAGATAATACATGTTTACTGTTGTTTTAATCCACTAAATTTTGGATAATCTGTTATGCATCATTGAATAACTAATACACTTTGCTTCCTCGAAGGACAGAAAGAATGATATATCATGGGAGTTTAATTACTCCTTTCTTAAAAAATAAAAATTCGGGGGCACCTGGGTGGCTTAGTCGTTAAGTGTCTGCCTTCAGCTCGGGTCATGATCCCAGGGTCCTGGAACCGAGACCAGCATCGGGCTCCCTGCTCAGCAGGAAGCCTGCTTCTCCCTCTCCCTCTCCCACTCCCCCTGTTTGTGTTCCCTCTCTTGCTGTCTCCCTCTGTCAAATAAATAAATAAAATCTTTAAAAAATAAAATAAAAATAATAAAAATAAAAATTCGGTTTGCTCCCGGGTTTCAGCATCAAAAAAAAAAAAAAAAAGCAAAAAACTCCTTTCTTACTTTGCTATGTAAATTCAGAACGCATTTTACAAAACACAATGGCTATCCTTATCATTCCAGTTAAGTTTTTAAGTGTCTTATTAAAATAGTGCTGGGTCAGGGCAGCTGGGTGGCTCAGTCAGTTAAGTGGCTGCCTTTGGCTCAGGTCGTGATCCCAGGGTCCTGGGGATTGAATCCCACGTGGGGCTCCCTGCTTAGTGGGGAGCCTGCTTCTCCCTCTCCCTCTGCCCCTCCCCACCGCTCATGCTCTCTCTCAAATAAATAAACAAAATCTTGAAAGAAAAAAAAAATAGTGCTGGGTCTGATGGACAGTTTCTGCCCCCAGATATGGATAGGCTCTACTGATGTAAAATCACTGCCTGAGCAAAAATTTAATTTCTCAGTCATTCAACATTTATTGAGTGCTTCCTTTCTTTGAAAATTTTAAATTATTTACTTGAATAGGTAACAAAAGCACTAACAGGAAAAGGTACAATAGGATATACAATGTTTCTTCCATATCCACTTATCTATTTTTTTTTAAATTGAATTAGCCAACATATACTACATCATTAACAGATGTACATCATAACATTTCAGATGTAGAGTTCAGTGATTCATCAGTTGCTTGTAACATCCAATGCTCATCACATCACCTGCCCTCCTTAATGCCCATAACCCAATTCCATATACTTTTATATATTCTATGGCTACATAACATCTAAGTAGATTTATTTTCTCCCCACAAATGAAAGTATACTACACACCATGTTCTGCACCTTGCTTTTCCCTTTAATGTATATTAGTGATCATTCCATATCAGAATTAAAGCTACCTTTTTTTTTTTTTAAGATTTTATTTGAGAGAGAGCAAGCGAGAAAGTATGAGTAGGGGGAGGGGCAGAGCGAGAGGGAGAAGCAGACTCCCCACTGAGCAGGGAGCCTAGGACCCTGGGATCATGACCTAAGCCTAAGGCAGATGCTTAACAGACTGAGCCACCCAGGTGCCCCAAAGCTACCCTTTAAGTACAGAAGCACCTACATTTACTTACATCAGTTCCCTGCAGATAGATATTTAGATGTTACTAATATTGGGCTATACCAATGTCGTTTCTATTACTATCTACCTGGATTTATTTTTTTTAAGATTTGAGAGAGAGAGAGAGAGTGTGTGTGTGTGTGTGCACACAGCACGCACAAACGGGGGAGAGGAAGAATCCCAATCAGCACAGTACCCAACGTGGGGTTCAATCTCAGGACCTGAGGATCAGGACCTGAGCCAAAAGTGAAACCAAGAGTTGGACACTTAACCAACTGCACCACCCAGGCGCCCTCTACCTGGATTTAATTAAGGTTCTAAATTCAAGCAACAAAGCCCCTGTTCTAAAACCATATGATAAAGGCTCTCTCACCTAAATTTGTCCCAGCAGTTTTTATTCCTTTTCTTTTTTTTCTTTTATTCCTTTCCTTTTGTACATTGTAATACAGATTCTCCTTATGATCTGATAAACCCATCCTAAGTCAAAAATGCATTTAATACACCTAACTTACCAAACCTCATAGCTTAGCCTAGCCTACTTTAAACGTGTTTAGAACACTTACATTAGCCTACAGTTGAGCAAAATCATCTAACCCAAAGCCTATTTTATAATAAATTACTGAATATCTCATCTCATACAATTTATTGAATACTGTACTCAAAGTGAAAAACAGTTGTATGTGTTTACCCTCGTGGATCACGTGGCTGATTTACAGCTGTGGTTTGCTACCAGTGTCCAGCACCATAAAAGCATCATACCACATTATTACTATCCAGGGAAAAGATCAAAATTTAAAAACTGGGGGTGCCTGGGTGGCTCAGTTATTAAGCATCTGCCTTTGGCTCAGGTCATGCAAGGTCCTGGGATCGAGCCCCACACTGGGCTCCCTGCTCCGCAGGAAGCCTGCTTCTCCCTCTCCCACTCCCCCTGCTTGTGTTCCCTCTCTTGCTGTGTCTGTCAAATAAATAAATTAAATCTTTTTTTTTAAAGATTTTATTTATTTATTTGAGGGAGGAAGAATGAGAGCCAGAGAGCACGAGAGGGAAGAGGGTCAGAGGGAGAAGCAAACTCCCTGCTGAGCAGGGAGCCCGATGCGGGACTCGATCCCGGGACTCCAGGATCATGACCTGAGCCGAAGGCAGTCGCTTAACCAACTGAGCCACCCAGGCGCCCAATAAATAAAATCTTAAAAAAAAAAAATTAAAAACTGAAGTATGGTTTCTACTGAATGTGTACTGCTTTCACACCATCGAAAAGGCAAAAAATTGTTCAGACGAACCATCATTAAGTCAGGGACTGTCTGTATAGCTGGAATTTTTTACTTACCTTTTTTTAAAATTTGTTTTTATTGTGGTAAAATACACATAATATAAAACTTATCATCTTCACCCTTTTTAAGTGTTCGGTTCAGTGGTATTAAGTACATTCATACTGTTGTGCAAGCATCACCACCTTCCATCCCCAGAACTTTTTTTCATTTACAAAACTAAAACTCTGTCCCCATTAAATAATAACTCCCAATTTTCCCTTCCTGAAGTCCCTGGCAACCACCATCCTACTTTCTGTCTCTATGATTTTCACTATTTTTCAAGTACCTTTATAAGTGATATACAATATTTTAATCCTTAAAGCAGCTGTACATTGAATGATTTCCATGTAATACAATCAATGTATATGACTAAGTAGATGAGTTGAACTGTGTCCTCCCCAAATTCATAAATTGAAGTCTAATCCCTAGCACCTCAAAATGTGACCTTATGTGAAAATAGTCAATACAGTCACTGCAGATATAATTAGTTAAAATGAGGTCCTACTGGAGCAGGGTGGGCCCCCCATCTAACATGACTGGTGTTCCCACAGAACTTAGGACACAGACGCAGGGAGAATGTCATGCTGCCACGAGCCAAGGAACTACCAAAAGTTAGAAGGAAGGCCTGAAACACATCCTTCCCTAGTACCTTCAAAGGGAGTATGACCCTGCCCACACGTTGATTTTGGATGTTTGATCTCCAAAGCTGTGAGACAATATATTTCTGTTGTTCTAAGTCACCTAGTTTGTTTTAGCAGCCCTAGGAAACCCTATTTTACAGATAAAGTTGTCAATTTTTAAAGCACATATCACTTTCTGCTCTTTGAGCAATAGAACATACATCTGTGGTAAATTCAGAAGACAGCAACACTATGGCTAGACTCATACCTAGAAATATTAATGGTGTAGTGAAAAGCTTTAGAAATTAAAGATTAAAATATCAGTATTTACCTATAATTAAAACAAGTGAATATATCCTAAAATTTGCCTAGGAGCACTTATATTTTATCATTTGATCTTCAATCTAATTAAAGCTGTATCTTTCTTCTTTATCCAATAAAAATTATTGGTTTGGGCAAATGATGAAGTTTTTCTTCTTTATACTTGATACACTGCTTTTGTTGAAAATACAAGGTTTAGCTTAAATATAAGTAATTTCTAGTCACAGGGCGCCTGGGTGGCTCAGTCGGTTAAGCGTCTGCCCTTGGCTCAGGTCATGATCCCAGGGTCCTGGGACTGAGTCCCACATTGGGCTCCCTGCTCAGCGGGGAGCCTTCTCCCTCTCCCTCTGCCCCCTCCTCATGCTTGCTCTCTCTCTCTAGTGCTTTCTCTCTCTAATAAATAAATAAAATCTTAAAAATTTCTAGTCATTTTTGATGTTCATTTTCTGTTGAAGCTTACTGTTCTACTTCTATCTAGCTATTTTTCAAGCTGCCGAAACAGTATCTGGAAGCATTAGCCACTACTACTCACTTGCCAAATCCTGAGTTCTGATTTTTGCTTTCTTCTCAAGATGTATAAAAGCACCTGGAAGCCAAAGAAAATGTTCTTCCTGTGATAAGGAAAAATAAAAACAACATTACAGTAAGGATACAGCCCTCACTTGTGCTATATGCTTCTTTGTGCAAAACTATTCAAATGAACCAAGCTATTTTTAAAACATCACCATGGGGCACCTGGGTGGCTCAGTCATTTAAGTGTCCAACTCTTGGTTTCCACTCAGGTCATGATCTCAGGGGTCTTGGGATCTAGCCCCAGGTAGGGCTCTGACCTCAGTCAGAGGTAGGTAGGTAGGTAGGTAGGGGGTGTGTGGGTGTGGGTGTGTGGGTGTGTGTGTGTGGGTGTGTGTGTGTGCTTGCAAGATTCGTGTGTGTGTGTGTGTGCGCGCACGCGCGCTTCCAAGATTCTTTCCCTCTGCCCCCACCTGCGATCTCTCTGGCTCTCTCCCTCTCTAAAATACTCTTTAAAAAAATCATTATCAAAAACTATTCAAAAGGAATAGTCAGAAAGAAGTTACTCTCTACCTGCACTGGGACTAATTTTATAAGGGTATCAAAACTCTTGAATAAGTGGTTCTCAAGTTTTTATGGTACTCTCTTCCCACTAAGAACCTGATGATGCCGTGGTCCCTCTTCTCACAAAAGACCTCTGCTTTAATATAGATGACCACACCCCTCTGTTGTAAGGTAGGAATAATACTGTTCCTTTCCTCTGCCCTACATATCTTGTTTCTTCTTCTAGATGAAACTGAAAAAAATACTCCTGACAAAAGAGAAAGGTCTTATTTATAAGGAAGCTATTCTTTACGCGGTATTTCCAGCTTTGCTAAATCAAGGACCAGTAAAGAGCCCACCAGAAATATTCATTCCTATTATGACATATCAGTGGAACTGCACCCAACTAACATGCCAATTCTAAATAGGCTTCACTAATTCAGAAACCTAGTAACAGGAAATTTTCCAAGGATTTAAGTGAAACACCGAATCAGGGGTTATAAAAATCCAATTTATAAAAAGAAACCCCATATACAAGAACCGAATACAAATGACTTGACATTATACTTGGCAACCCCACCACATTATACAAATTACGTTCTAATAATATTTCCCCAAACTCTTTCTCACTATCTCTATAAACGATAAATAAATAAAAATTGTACACTGGCTGGCTCCTTCAATTCTGGAAAACAACAACGGTGAATTCTACCGGGACCTACAGTCAGTCGAGATTAATGCGCCATTAAGCAATTACCAGGTCATACAAGGACAAAGCTGCTTACTCGGATCTTAAAAGTTTGAGGGGTGGGAGGGGGAAATGAATGAATAGGTAGCAAGAGAACGTGAATGATACAAATTAAAATCCCGGGGGAGAACCTATTAAACCAAATCTCAAGGTCAACGGACCAGGGACACAAATTACTCAGGGCCCCAGTAGGCCTCGATTGATACCGGAGACTCAGGCAAAACAGCGAACACGAAGCCGTCTGGTGAGGAATATAAATAAATCAATAAAATAAAGGTATTCTTTAAAAAAATAAACCGCTGGACGACGCAGCGGCTGGCAGATACACAGCCGCGTGGGTGCAATCACCGGGGAACAAGCCGAAAGCACAAAGGCAGACAAAAAAAGGCACTGAGAAGGACAGAGGCGGGTAGAAAACGAAGTGTTGGTGCCACACACTCCGGAAGGTTTGTACGGCCGCCCGAGGCAGCTCGGCAGGAAGCCCGCGCCAGGCCGAGGCCCGCGCCCGCTGCAGGCAGGGTTCCGCGCGCTCCCGTCCCCCGACCGGGCTGGGCCACGCCACCTCCTGTTAGTTCCCGTCGCCCGCCTTCTCGGCTTACCTCGCACCGACCAGAAGGAGCACTGGACACTCCGGGGGCCTTACCGCCCCCGGCCCAACGGCCGGCTGCCACCCGCACGCCTCACTCCGCCATCTTCGCTCTTTCCCAAGTCCGCCAACCCTGCGGCAGCCGTTTCCAAAAGCTCCGCCTCCGCTTCTGCCGCTGAGTCCCGACTGGTTAACGACTTGCGCAAGCGCATTGTCTTCCCGCTGTGGGCTGGTTGGAATGTACGTCCGTCAATAGTGCTGACCCCACTCTTTTCGATCTTTTTTTTTGCGGGATTGGGTCCCAGAGTTGAGGTAACGGGGGAAAAACGTTTTTGTAATTCACTTGTTAGGAATGTAAAATTATTTCCGCGTAGAACCTGTGTCACTTCGTGGAAAGGTAGTCTGGCTAGGCCGCATGACAGTTTTATAAGACACCGTTAGGTTCAACTATACTGCTAATAATTTCATTCTCGGACCGGGAGTTTTTAATCCTGGACATAATACCACACCTAGGCAGACAGTTTAATAGCTCGTTTGTATCTCATTCTCTCTGACTTGTTTCCTTCATAAGGGGCGCAAACGTCAGACCGCTGTTTCTAGCTCTGGTCAATACAGGAGAGCAAATTCGTTTCTTTCGTTTAAGGATTCTTCTGGCAAATGTCAGACCGTTATAACTGACAGTTTTGTTGCTTCCTACACTCAGCTGTAGGGCTCTTGGGATCCTTTCTAAAGGGATTGTTTCAGGAGAGGCAAGTAGGGTAATTAGAAGTTGCTATTACACGGTGCCAACGGTGGCTCCCAGGTATGAGATGTAGGTCCTCAAACACCAGTAAGGCTCTCAAATGGGGTGCTTCCTAGAAATATGGATTCCTAAGGCTGCACCTCCCTGAGATCCAATTCCCAAAGTCCTCGGATGAAGCTAAGGAGTCTTAATTTTACAGAAGCTAATGATAAAGGGCAACTAAGGGAAAACCTTCACTCAAAATGGGGGAGCCTGCCTTGCTCAGTCAGAAGAGCATACGTACTACTCTTGATCTCAGGGTCGTGATTCAAGTCCCACTTTGGGCGTGGAACCTACTTAAAAAAAAATCATACCTCATGGTGAGCCTTCATACTTTCCCTTTAAGATCAGAAACCAAGCAAGGACACAGGCTCTCTTCACCTCTATTCAACATTGTACTGGAGGGTGTAGTCAGTGCAAAAAAGGCAAACAAAAGGCATCCAGATTGGAAGAAACAAAACTGCCTTTATTTGCAGGTGATGTGATCCTCTGTTGAAAATCATAAGGAGCACGTACACAGCAAAAACAAAAGTACTGGAACTTCTATGTTTAGTGAGGTTGCAGAATACAAGATAAGTATACAAAAATCAACTATTTCTCTACACTAATATAAAAAATGAAATTAACAACTGCATTCATAATAGCATCAAAAAGAATAAAATACTTAGGAAAAAGTTTAATAAAACAAATCCAAATTTATACACCAAAAATATAAAACATACTGAGAAATGAAGATCTAAAGTAAAGAGACTTTGCATGTTCATGGTTTGTCAGACTCAGTATTAAGATGGCAATTCTCAAATTGATTAGATTCAATGCAATACCTAACAAAATCCTAGCAGTGTGTGGTAGAAATTGACAAGCCGATCCTGAAATGTATAAGGAAATACAAAGGACACAGAATAGCTAAGCCAATTTTGAAAAAAAAGAGTCTGAATTACACTACCCAATTCATAACTGACTACAAAGCTACAGTAATTGAAACAGTATTCACAAGGATAGGCCTATAGAGACAGCGAAACAGAATTGAGAGTCCAGAAACAAACCCTTACATTTAGGATCAATTTTTGACCAACATGCAAGATAATTCAATGGGAAAAGGATAGTGTCTTCAATCCAGGATATTGGTAGGGTCAATTGATATTTAGTTCAGTTATTAAAATATTAAAATACTTACACACTTCGCATTTCCCATTTCCCCAGACCCAAGGTTGCCTTCTCTGCCTCCTCTTATACTCAGGACCCCTCCCTCCCATACTTACCTCTATCCAGCAACTGAAGGGTTTACTGCCTAGCACAGCAGAGAATCTATCTCTAGGACTTAGCTCCAGCCATACATTCTGATAGATCAGTGCAACACTAGCTAAAAATAACTTCCCATTATAGATGTATTTCTTCCTAGGGCACAGGCAACTAGGAAAGAACCAAAAACAAAACCATAAAACAGTGTCAACTGGGATAATACAGACTGTTTCTCATTTATTTCCTCAACAATCATGCCCTTCATGTTAAAAAAGTTTGCAGATGTACCTGTGTGTTCCTAAAAACAAAAACAAATACAAAACAAATACACACACACACACAAAATAAAAAAATATTTTTTAAAGATTTTATTTGTTTGTTTGTCTGACAGAGAGAGAGCGAGCACACAAGCAGGGGGAGCAACAAGCAGAGGGAGAGGGAGAAGCAGGCTCCCGCTGAGCAGATGTGGGGCTCGATCCCAGGACCCTGAGATGATGACCTGAGCCAAAAGCAGTCGCTGAACTGAGCCACCCAGGCGCCCCCCAAAATAAAAATATACATTTTTAAGATTTTACTTGACAGAGAAAGACTGCGAGAGGGAACACAAGCAGGGGGAGCAGGAGAGGGAGAAGCAGGCTTCCTGCTGAGCAGGGAACCCAATGCAGGGCTCGATTCCAGGACCGTGGGACCACGACCTGAACCAAAGGCAGACGCTTAATGACTGAGCCACCCAGGTGCCCCTAAAAAATATTTTTGAAAAATAGTGTTATATATACAGGGAGAACCTACTTAGTATGTTATGAACCAATAGGCAGGAATTCTAGATCATCTAGGTAAACCTCTGTTGTAATTTAGGAATTCTCCAAGATTCCTGACAAAAATGGTCATTCAAGATTTTGCTTAAGCAATTCTAGCAACTAAGGGCTAGGGAATGCACTAGTTTTGGTGATATCCTGTTCCTCATTTGAATAATAATTAAGAAATTCTTCCTTAGGAGTGCCTGGCTGGCTCAGTTGATGGGAGTATGAGATTCTTGATCTTGGGGTTGTGAGTTCAAGCCCCATGTTGGGGACAGAGATTACTTAAAACTTTTTAAAAAATCAATTTAATTAAAAAAAAATTCTGGGGTGCCTGGGTAGTTCAGTTGGTTAAGTGTCTTTCAACTCAGGTCATGATCTCACCATTGTGATACTGCATCCCACATTGGGCTCCACACTGGGTGTGGGGCCTGGCTTAAGATTCTCTCCCTCTGCCCCTACCCCCACCTTACAACACACACACACACACACACACACACACCCCATTTCTGAAGAGGCTGTCCTGGCTGGCTCATTGGTAGAGCATGTAACTCATGATCTCGGGGGGTTTTGGGTTCAGGCCCCAAGTTGGGTGTAGAGATTACTTAAAAATAAAATCTTAAAAAAAATTGTTTCTAAAGTAATAGTGTGTGTGTGTTTTAGGGAGTAAGATTTTCAGAATAAAACACTAAAAATCTGTTTAATGGTGCTTGATATCTATTATAGCAGACAAGAGAACTTATTTGATTAATTCTTATTTCTGCAACCACATTCAGGTATAGGATATAACAATTCACCTACCTGGTTCAGTTCTTAAATAGACTGCAAAGGGTGGTGGAAAGTGTCAAGACCATGTCTCCAAAGTCTTTCTAGTTTCGAGAAGAGGTCAGAATCTAGTGCTTAGAAGACTGAAGAGAAAAGAAAACTGAGTCTTGGCATCTCAAGACCAAATCCTTGATCAGCTTCCACCGCAGGTTAAGATGTCAGGCTAGTTGCTTACTCCATCTTAGAAGACATGAGGCTCCTCACTGCGGTCTGCTCCATCCCAGAGATGGGAAGAAACTGCCTGCAGTACCTCACAAACTTATAGGTAAATCTCCCATCACTCCTTGGTGTAGAGGAAAAGAAACTCTAAATTGAAGTTTCTACTAAGCTAGATGTTAAACAGATCACAGATCTGTATTAGAAAATACCACCCACCTTTAGTTTGAATCATTTGTTGACTCAAAGCTCAGTCAAAATGTGAATTTAAGGGCCCCTGGGTGGCTCAGATGGTTAAGGGTCTGCCTTTGGCTCAGGTCGTGATCCCAGAGTCCTGGGATTGAGTCCCACATAGGGTTCCCTGCTCCTTGGGAGCCTGCTTCTCCCTCTGCCTCTCTTTCTCTCTCTCTCTCCTCTCTCATGAATAAATAAAATCTTTTTTTTTAAAATGTGAATTTAGGGAATTTCAGTCCAGTAATGACTTCCAAGCAGTTCTGCTCTCAGTGTTTGGGAAACAGGATAAATACCTGGTTTATAGTATAAGAAACCCAGTTTGTAAAGATAGTCCTCTCTGAGGCATCTCTGCAATGAATGTTTGCTTTAAATCCTAATCAACACAGTTTATTCTAGTATTTTATTTTTAAAGATTTATTTATTTTAGAGAGAGAAAGAGCATGAGAGAGTGGGGGAGGGACAGAGGGATGGGGAGAGAGAGAATCTCAGACTCCCCACTGAGTGCGGAGCCTGACACAGGATTTGATCTCACGATCCTGAGATCATGACCTGAGCCAAAATCAAGAGTGGGTTGCTTAACCGACTGAGCCACCCAGGTGCCCCATATTCTAGTATTTTACATACAGAACTTGGTAACATGATTCTAAAAGCAATTTGAAAAAATAGATGACAGTAAAGACTCTTCTGAAAAGAAGAATGAAGGTAAAATAAAGTAATTCAATTACTTGTAGCAGTTTGACATTCATTTCTTTGGAGACATATCAAAAGCTTTAAGTACATGTCCAAACCTTGACCTAGTAATCCCACTCCTGTAAAATCTTTTCAAAGAGCTCTGTGGAGAAAGGTATTCATTGTATCATTAGAACAGATAAAATTGGAAACAATAAGCAAGGTAATAATTAAATACTATATCTAGTCTGTAAAATGTAACCATTAATATAAGCTAGGAAGAACAGGTAACAGGGAAATATTACATTAATTTTTTAATTTATTTTCTTATTATGTTATGTTAGTCACCATACATTACATCATTAGTTTTTGATGTAGTGTTCCATGATTCATTGTTTGCAAATAACACCCAGTGCTCCATTCAGTACGTGCCCTCTTTAATACCCATCACCAGGCTAACCCAT